GTAATTTAAAAGTAAACTACTAGATAATTACAATTCATTACAAAGATTTATAACAATTGCCTACCGATATCAAAATTATTTCACATTAAAATGACTTAAATTTTTGTTAAACAGACATTCATTGATAAATCGTATGTATTCCCTCTTACAATTACTATCTGAAATACCTACCAATATCAGCATTATTTCCCATTGAAATACTTGAAATTTTTTGCTTAACAAACATCCAATGATAAATCAAAGAATATACTTACTATTCCCAGAACATTTACATTTCGCCATCATGTTGTAATTCTGTATGTAATACATATATAGAAAATGTTGTAACATTTTAGAAAACATTCCCTTACTTAGAAATTCCTTGTATTATATTCCTTGAATCCATAATCCAGACTGGCATTTGAAAAAAAAACTCAACAACAATATAAAATTGTAAAAAAAAATATATAATATCGTACATTCTTTGTGAATTTTTTCTGTTGTTTTTCTAGCTAAGACCCCTTATTCACGTAATTCCATTTTGTTTGTTGTAAATACGTTGATTGTTGTTTTTAGTTGTAGCTGGTAATTCTTTTATGGTTTAATTATATAAATGTTTCTTTTAATGTCAGAGCATTTTCCGTGTCCTGTTTGAAATTTAATTACCACTACCGTTAGTTAACATTACCTGAGGGTTCTTAACATGTCACTGCCATAAAATAAGTTCAAGTTGTTGCTGTTGCTGGCGGTTTTTGTTGTTGTTGATTTCTTTTTTAATTCAACTACATACATATTCAAACATTTATTTAAGGTCTTGTGACGGGTATGTTTGTGTAATAGGGTGGATCTTTCAATGTTTATCATATCTCAAAATTTTTGTTTTAGCATCATTTGTGGGTGAATTTCATAGGAGGAGAAAACTGTAAATAACTTTCTCTGTCATTCACGGCTTTGGTAAAATAACGTTTTGATACATTGTTTGTTGTATAATTTTGGAAAAATCTCTTCTATCCAATTGAGATTCACACCTTTGACTCCCACAAACCCATATGAGGCATTCCTCTTTCCAAAATAATTTTACACTACACATGTACGTCATCAATGACTAATACTTTTTGCCTTATTTAGGTAATTGTCTACGTCACAAAACTCTCTTCGTGAGAACAACAAACAGTTATATAGTTTATATGTTTCATGATACCAACCATGCTAAGTTTAATCATTTATTTTTGTAAGCCAACTTAATATACATCTGCTTAATTATGTGTTTTGTATATATTTTATATTCAGTTTGAAAGAAATTTTGTGTAAAGCACTTAAGAGGGATATAAAGGAAGAATAAAATTATAAATCACTTTTTATGTAATAGATTTAATTAACTTCATTACAAAACTTAAAAATTGTAATGCCCTGGTAGGTCTATTTAAAAAAAAAGATTTATAATATTTACATAATTATGTTTAATTTGTTGTTTATTAAACAACTGTTTAATAAAGTATTTATATAATTTAAATGTAATTCGAATTAAAGATAAACGTTAAAAAAGGTTGATTTTATTTTAAATTAATTAAATAATTAGTCAAATTTATTTAAATGTTATTCTACGTGAATTTACTCACTATATTTTATTATTTTTAATACACTATGTCGATGCGTCTAAATTAAAGTGTTCTAAGTTTAACTAATTCTTAACTTTTTTATGTTAGAACTTAGAATTTTTTCATGTTTTCATTTTTATACCCTACACCAGTGGGTTTAGGTTTATGCTGATGTTTGTAACGCATAAAAATATTCGTCTTATACCCACCTTAAATTGGACCAATCGGCTCAGAATTTTCTGAATATAAGTTTTTTTCGACCAAAGAACGAGGCCTATTGAAAATAGTTACAATCGGCTCATTATCTTTCACCTAGCCCCCATACAACCGTACCCCCCCCCCTTTTTGAGCCTATTATAAAAGTTCTAGTATCTCTACAAAAATCAGTAAGACATTGTTTTATATAAGTCTAAATAATGCTGACGATTTTCGTAATAGTACCCATATAAATTTCTATTCAGAAAATGACTTGAAGATCAATAATTCACTTATAAACACTAGTATTACTTAAATTGTTACTGCATCACGGGATTCAGGCAGATATTTCGACCTATACCACACATATACAAACAAACCTTATATAGTAAGTACTTACCTTACCCCCTATTTGTAAGCGAGCATGGTAAATACTTGGCTCCAATGTCATCCCCGTGTTCAAATAATGACTTAAGATGCTATTGTGTAAGTAAATTTTAGCACTTTAACTCCTTACTTTTCAAAGTAATTTTTGCTGGAAATGACTTGTACTTACTCAACAACTTACTTTTCAATGGACACTACACACTGTATGCATTACCTAGGAGGTGTCTAGTGGACGTATTCCCGTAGGCAATTTTTTCTCATTAACAAAACTACTTACTTAACTCCCTATTTGCAGGCAATCGTAGTAATTACTTACCTAACTCCCTATTTGTAAGCGAGCGCGATAAGTACTTGCTTCCAATGTCATCCCCAAGTTAAAATAAAATGCTATTGCTTTCTTTTCAATGTAAGTTTTTGCTGAGTTGGTTTGAGATATTGGGTATTCAAAATTAATTAAAATTATTAATTATGTTTCTCCTACTCAATTCTTATCATATACATCAAATGGCTGCACCCAGTCTAATATATTTATAGAAATAGTGCATTGTTCCGGCTTTCGAGCGTCATTGTTTCCTATTTTTTTTATCTATTAAAACTGCAAACAACTAGATATTTCTCGAAACGCGCTGTTGTATATTTCAACTGAAACTTGGTCGAATGAACATTGACCATTTTTTTATTAATTATTGTTACTTCCCTTTTTTATCTTATCGTCGAATTGTTTGTTATTTTTTAATAGAAAAAAAAACTAAATAAATACAAATAAAAGATCACCGCCTAAATTGGCTGTCAAAAGCACACAGGGAACATGACAATAAATGGTTTAATTAAAACAGAGTTTTTTTTGCTATATTGTTTTCTTTATAAAAAAATAAGAATAACAATTTAAATATAATTTTATTTAAATCTACAAATACTATAATATAAATATTTTATTTAAGTTGTTAAAAATACATACATATATACATAAACAAATAAATAATATACAATACATATGCATGAGTAAGTTAGTATTAATACAAATTAAATGTTCATATGTAGTTTGTGTAATTGTGTGTAATTTTTTTTAAATATGAATATTAAATACATAAATATGTACAGCAAACCATGTTTAATTGTCCCTCTAGAGGAAAAAAAATTAAAATTTTCTTAAATTTAATTGTTATTCTTAGTCAAAAAAAAAAAAAAATTTTAATAATTTATTTTTTTTTTACATATTTTGTTGTTTTTAATAATTTAAATGTACTTTCTGCATTTTTGGGTTATTAATAAAATTATATAATTTTCATACGCATACTTATAAATAACAATTGCTTTATGTTTGTTTAAGTTTTTAATAAAATTTACAAATATTTCGAGTTTTTTTTACTTATTTTTTTATTTACATACATACAAACATATGTATTTGTTTATATATATTTAAATAATAATAATAAAAAATATATCAGAGAAAAGTAAATAAAATAAAAGTTGAAAAATTAAGTTCATAAAAAGTAGGCAAAATAATTAAAAATGTAAATAATATGTTAAGCAATTAATTTATTATTAATTTTTATGTTTTTATTTACATTTTTCTGCTCTAGGAAACAAATAAACGCTGAAAGAAATGTACTTTATAAATATATTTTAAGAGGATTCATGAAACATTTGTGCAAACTTGCACATTTGCACAAATGGCTATCTGTATTATTTAGAAGAGAAAATTTGGTTTAAAATTATCAGTTCAAATAGGCGATCAAATGTATCTGTGTTGTGGAAGTAAAAGCCCATTAAATATGTGACAAATTCAATGTAAAATCGAAAATGCATAGATTGCACAGTTAAATTTTCTGAAAAGAACCTTAGATATCAAGTCTACACAAGAATGATATTCTGGAAAGAAATTTTCCTATTTTCCTAAAGCGTTTAAAATAATATAATCTGAGATCCATCAAAATTTTAATTTTATTCCCAAAATGCCACTTACAATCTTGTGTATTCTTGTCTCTTAAAACAAGTATTTTCCTAAATGTACAATAGTTTTAGTTCCGCCACAGTCGTATTATATATTTATAAATATTTTAATTTTATTGCTATAACTCAAAATTTTAATGAGAAACAACCACCCCCCCCCAGTTTCAACTACACTCTTCTTTATGTATTTACATCCCCTTTTTTCTTGGTCACTATTCAAGAAAAAAGTTCAGCAAGTCACTTTAAACTTTCAAAAAAAAAAAATCAAAATTTCATTCATACATTTTTTCCATCCCTGATTTTAGCTATTAACTATGATAAATCTTTTGTTTACTAAAAGCAAAACAACAATAACATATGCTACACATATGTATGTTGCTTTCAATCGTTAAATTATGTGTATAACTAAATAGAACAGCAACATATAACAACATGTAAGAAATTATAGTCGGGCGAGGCCGGCCATATAATACCCTACACCAGTTTTAAAAATAAAATGTGATTTAGTTTTCATAATAAAGCATTTAAGTTGAATTGTACCTGCATCAGATATACTTAAGCTATTTATTGTTGAATAAAATTGTGGACAATTAAGTAAAATTTTGAAGGGGGCTTTGTATAGGGGCTATGGTCAAATGAGATCCTATAATTATAAAATTCATGAGGGTCATCAAGGATAGTGGTTTTGCAGCTTTTTGTCGAGATACGATAAACATAATTATGAACTTAAAAGCTCTAATCTGAGGGTTCTAGGTGAAATAATGGAAATAATGAAATAACCATTTTCAATAGGCTTCGTTTCTAGTACTATAGAAGATCATGTGCCAAATTTCATTGAATTATCTTAAAAATTGCGACCTGTAGTTTGATTACAAGGTTTACAAGCCCTATTCGGCGGTTCAGTTGTATGGGGGCTAGGTGAAGTAAAGAACCGATCATAAGCATTTTCAATAGGCTTTGTCCCTGATATTATAGAAGATAATAATGTACCAATTTTCATCGAATTATCTTCAAAATTGCGACCTGTAGTTTGATTTCAAGGTTTACATGGACAGACAGACAGACAGACAGACGGACAGACAGACGGACATAGCTAAATAAGAAAATGACTCTATGCCGATTGGTAAACATTAATGTGAGTATAGGACCAGTATTATTGTGCGTTACAAACATCAGCACAAACCCAATATACCCTCCTCACTAATGTGGTGTAGGGTATAATGAAGTTGCAAGTTGTTGTTGTTTTCATTGTGCTTTGCTATGAAATGACAAACTTTCATAATTTTTTTCCAATATTATAATGGATTGTTCCGCAATTTTGTTCATATTTTTGTTACTAATAGACAAATTTTCTTGATTTTATATAAAAAACTAATTGAAAGAATGTCTGAGAGAAGATTTTAGAGGTCTTCAGAACATATATTTCAACAGACAGACGGACAAAACTTGTGAATGTGATTCAATCACATTCATTTTTTCCATCCACCCTAGTGTTTACTTTATGAAGTTTTTATTAGATTTATGTTCCTTAATTTTGCATGAACTTTAAAATTTACAGTATGTAGAAAATTTTGGAAAAAACCATTTTTTTTTGTAAAAATTTAAATTGAACGACCTAACTTTTGTTGGGAACATTTTTTAACTAAATTTTCACAATTATTTTTTGTATAAAAACCAAATACTAAAGTTTGATTAAATTATCTTTGCTTTCGGAAATTTATAAAAAATATCATATATAAACTACACTTCTTTTTGTATGTGTGTGTTTTAAGGCTTTTAGCAAAAATTTCATATGCAAATTATGAAATTCTTCTTATATGAATTTATGCATGTATTATGAACTTAATTTTTCCTTTATTTTATATATTGTGTTATTTTTATATTTTACTATCTTTGGCTCTGTTAGTTGAAGACCAACCAACATGAAAGGAGTACGGGCATATGCTGTTGTTTTTTAATAATAATCATTACACTGCATATAGTTGCGCCATTTTTCCCAATTAGCACAGCCGACAATTTCACTTGTGGTACCAGCACCAGTAACACCACTTTCACGAGTACCACTAACGGCACTTGTTGTTGTTGTGACGATGGCATGTACGAAACCCTTACCTGATTCACAATTCAGTATTGTTGGTTCAATAGACTCCTTTAGGCAGACATAAAATTTATTTGGATTCATACATTCCCAAGGCTGTTGCATATGCTTGCTATCGCAAACTACCACCTGTTCGAGATGTCCACTTGAAATGCACGCTGGCCATTGATCAAACGGTATGCAGCCCGAATAGCCCAGACCGAGAAAAAAGCCTTTACCTTCGGGACAACGTAATTGCAGAGGCTTTTTTGTTTGAGTATCACAGATGTAGAATATATTTGGATCAACATCACCCCATGCACCAGTAAGGGATTTGCAATCGCCCAGTGATGTGTTGGTGGTAGTGATGGCTGTTGCAGAAGTTTTAGCATTCATGGCTTTTGGTTGCCTTATTGTTGCTGCAACTTGGTGTGACATTTGGAAGGAGTTTAATGTTGAGAATACTGGTGTTGCAGTTGCTGCTGCTGATGTTGATGATGATGACGTTGTTAGTAGAGTTTGTGTTTTTGTTGATGTTTTTGGTGATTGTTGTGCTATTACGGGATTTTTACTTAAATCGAACAATGTTTTCGTCCATGTTTCTGCTATTGTTTTTGTTATTTCCGTGTCCGGCCGTATATGGCCGCCTGTTTTTGTTGTGTTAACGGAAACTATGGCGTGCATAAAAATCATGATGGCTGCTGTTACTATTGCTGATGTCGTTGTGTTCGTGGTCATATAAAAAATCACTGACAATATACAATTGTTTTTGTAGTTGCTGTTGTTTCTGCTGTTTTTGTGGTTTATTATGAATTTATTTTGCAAGATTTTCATGACGTATGAGTGAGATTTTTTTTCACAATTAAAATTCACACAATTTTTTTTTTTTAACTATAAATATTGAAATAAAAAATTTTAACTTTAATCCGACTTTAGGGATTTTTTTCACTAAGTTCAGCTTTACTTTACTCTTTTTAGCAACAATATTTTCAACTTCCTTTTATGCGTTTATTATTTATTATTGTAAAATTCATAAATAAATTGTATATTTCTCTACTTTTAAAAATTTTTTTCTTTGTCAATAAATTTATTGCCTGGTGTGTTCCGTTTACGTAGTACGTTGCGAATAAAAAATGTGAATATATTTATTTATGCGTTTGGTTCTTTTAGTGGTTTATTTTTTTTTTAAATGCACTTTATACAATTTGTCTTGGCTGTAACGCGTGGTCTTTAATTCTATGGTGGCTCGTTGCTGTCATTCATTTTTATATATGCTTCCAAAAAGTAATTTGTGGCTTTTTGATTGTCGATAAAACGTATGTATATTATTGGTCTATTTTTGTATTTTGTGTTCTCATAAAGAAAAGTAGAAAAAAATCACCGAGTTTTAAAGGGCGGTACATTAAGTGAAAGAGGGAGTATTATTATGTTAATCAATTTGTAACATTGCACAAAGAAGAAATTCGCAAGGAAGGCTTGAAGTTGTTATGTTTAATTCACATGACTTTCCATTGTTTTCGCTTACTTATTCTCCGAAAGCTGAGGAAGCTGTATTCGTTTTTTTATTCGATTTATGCACAATTTCATCACCCTGTTATAATAATGACTTATAATAGTAATCAGTATATTGATTGAAAATTGAGTGATTCCTTTTTTCAAAGACTACTTATACAGATATACTTAGTTTGTAGGACATAATGATGAACAATTTTTTTATATAATTGTTATGTAGAGTACTAAGGATATCGTCAAATACTTATTTTAAAATATTTTATTACTCATGCCATTCTCTATTATTTTTTTTTTTTAATAATTGATGACGTTTTATAACTAAGAGACGAAAATGTTTATCATTAAAAAAATTTACTAGATACTAATTAGGGTAGATTTTTTTCTTTTTTTATAAAATATTTAAATTGAAAATTTTAAATCGAAATATAAGTCTTAGATACAAAATTTAATATATCTTGAAAATTGATGAATAGTGGAAATCGGAAATTTTTGGAAATAAACCTAGAAAAGTCAAGGCTTATTTGACTTTTGGTTTTTATAAAGGATTCTACAGATTATTTAAGGTCAGTGTAATTATTTAAAAATCGGGCATAGATTGATTTTGTCACTCTATACGAGATGATTAACCAATTTACTTGGTATTGAAATTATGTAAAATCGGTTCACATCTGATTAAGTAGCTTCTGTAATGATTATAACTGACAAGTAGATTGTATAAATTTTAAAAGATTTCAAAAGGGTTTCTAGATGGGTATTTCCAAATTTAGCACTTTCATATGATAATTGTTTCTAAAATAGGCAATTCTGAACTAATTTAAAATATAAACAAAACCACTGCTAGACATATGGAAGGGCATAGTTTAGTGATTCTAGACATTTTTGTTATGAATACTATTAAAATAACTCCCTAATATGAATACATACATATGTATGTAAGTGTTTTTAATAAAAGAGTAGAATATTTTAATTGCCACTTGACAGATAAGATATTAGACGTGTGTCTCATCGTTATTGTCTATTTTTTACTAAATAAGTTTTATTTTTAGTGAATGTACTTTCAACTAAAATGTTTTATGAACTTTGCTTGCCAGAGTATTAAAATAGTCTAATCAATAGTAGCAATTTTCTATTAATATGTGTTTACTAATATGTGTTGTTTTTTAACTTTTTATTTCAGGTACGAATTTATCTATTGATTTGAACAGTATAAGGTATGTAATTTACAAAAACTTCTAGATTTCCCAACAAAAACTCAAGATTTCTTTAACGAAAAAAAAGCTGACAAGGATACGAATCTATGGACTCTAATTGGTTAGTTCGCAGTTGTACTCACAGGTTTTTATTGTTTGCTAGTATATAAAATGGTAGTCATTACTAGGCTATTAAAAAGTAATGCAGATGGTATGAAGTTCTCATTGAAAAGTAAGTTGAGTAAATACAAGTTGGTTAGCTAGTTAGTTAGTTAGTTAGTTAGTTAGTTAGTTAGTTAGTTAGTTAGTTAGTTAGTTAGTTAGTTAGTTAGTTAGTTAGTTAGTAGTTAGTAGTTAGTTAGTTAGTAGTTAGTAGTTAGTTAGTTAGTTAGTTAGTTAGTTAGTTAGTTAGTTAGTAGTTAGTTAGTTAGTAGTTAGTTAGTTAGTTAGTTAGTTAGTTAGTTAGTAGTTAGTTAGTTAGTAGTTAGTTAGTTAGTTAGTTAGTTAGTTAGTTAGTTAGTTAGTTAGTTAGTTAGTTAGTTAGTTAGTTAGTTAGTTAGTTAGTTAGTTAGTTAGTTAGTTAGTTAGTAGTTAGTTAGTTAGTAGTTTTAGTTAGTTAGTTAGTTAGTTAGTTAGTTAGTTAGTTAGTTAGTTAGTTAGTTAGTTAGTTAGTTAGTTAGTTAGTTAGTTAGTAGTTCGTTAGTTAGTTAGTTAGTTAGTTAGTTGTGTTAGTTAGTTAGTAGTTAGTTAGTTAGTTAGTCGTTAGTTAGTTAGTTAGTTAGTTAGTTAGTTAGTTAGTTAGTTAGTTAGTTAGTTAGTTAGTTAGTTAGTTAGTTAGTTAGTTAGTTAGTTAGTTAGTTAGTTAGTAGTTAGTAGTTAGTTAGTTAGTTAGTTAGTTAGTTAGTTAGTTAGTAGTTAGTTAGTTAGTTAGTTAGTAGTTAGTTAGTTAGTAGTTAGTTAGTTAGTTAGTTAGTTAGTTAGTTAGTTAGTTAGTTAGTTAGTTAGTAGTTAGTTAGTTTAGTTGTAGTAAGTAGTTAGTTAGTTAGTAGTTAGTTAGTTAGTTAGTTAGTTAGTTAGTTAGTTAGTTAGTTAGTTAGTTAGTAGTTAGTTAGTTGTTAGTTAGTTAGTTAGTTAGTTAGTTAGTTAGTTAGTTAGTTAGTTAGTTAGTAGTTAGTTAGTTAGTTAGTTAGTTAGTTAGTTAGTTAGTTAGTTAGTTAGTTAGTTAGTTAGTTAGTTAGTTAGTTAGTTAGTTAGTTAGTTAGTTAGTTAGTAGTAGTTAGTTAGTTAGTTAGTTAGTTAGTAGTTAGTTAGTTAGTTAGTTAGTTAGTTAGTTAGTTAGTAGTTAGTTAGTTAGTTAGTTAGTTAGTTAGTTAGTTAGTTAGTTAGTAGTTAGTTAGTAGTTAGTTAGTTAGTTAGTTAGTTAGTTAGTTAGTTAGTTAGTTAGTTAGTAGTTAGTTAGTAGTTAGTTAGTAGTTAGTTAGTTAGTTAGTTAGTTAGTTAGTTAGTTAGTTAGTTAGTTAGTTAGTTAGTTAGTTAGTTAGTTAGTTAGTTAGTTAGTTAGTTAGTTAGTTAGTTAGTTAGTTAGTTAGTTAGTTAGTTAGTTAGTTAGTTAGTTAGTTAGTTAGTTAGTAGTTAGTTAGTTAGTTAGTTAGTAGTTAGTTAGTTAGTTAGTTAGTTAGTTAGTTAGTTAGTAGTTAGTTAGTTAGTTAGTTAGTTAGTTAGTTAGTTAGTTAGTTAGTTAGTTAGTTAGTAGTTAGTTAGTTAGTTAGTTAGTTAGTTAGTTAGTTAGTTAGTTAGTTAGTAGTAGTTAGTTAGTTAGTTAGTTAGTTAGTTAGTTAGTTAGTTAGTTAGTTAGTTAGTTAGTTAGTTAGTTAGTTAGTTAGTTAGTTAGTTAGTTAGTTAGTTAGTTAGTTAGTTAGTTAGTTAGTTAGTTAGTTAGTTAGTTAGTTAGTTAGTTAGTTAGTTAGTTAGTTAGTTAGTTAGTTAGTTAGTTAGTAGTTAGTTAGTTAGTTAGTTAGTTAGTTAGTTAGTTAGTTAGTTAGTTAGTTAGTTAGTTAGTTAGTTAGTTAGTTAGTTAGTTAGTTAGTTAGTAGTTAGTTAGTTAGTTAGTTAGTTAGTTAGTTAGTTAGTTAGTTAGTTAGTTAGTTAGTTAGTTAGTAGTTAGTTAGTTAGTTAGTTAGTTAGTAGTTAGTTAGTTAGTTAGTTAGTTAGTTAGTTAGTTAGTTAGTTAGTTAGTTAGTTAGTTAGTTAGTTAGTTAGTTAGTTAGTTAGTTAGTTAGTTAGTTAGTTAGTTAGTTAGTTAGTTAGTTAGTTAGTTAGTTAGTTAGTTAGTTAGTTAGTTAGTTAGTTAGTTAGTTAGTTAGTTAGTTAGTTAGTTAGTTAGTTAGTTAGTTAGTTAGTTAGTTAGTTAGTTAGTTAGTTAGTTAGTTAGTTAGTTAGTTAGTTAGTTAGTTAGTTAGTTAGTTAGTAGTTAGTTAGTTAGTTAGTTAGTTAGTTAGTTAGTTAGTTAGTTAGTTAGTTAGTTAGTTAGTTAGTTAGTTAGTTAGTTTAGTTAGTTAGTTAGTTAGTTAGTTAGTTAGTTAGTTAGTAGTTAGTTAGTTAGTTAGTTAGTAGTTAGTTAGTTAGTTAGTAGTTAGTTAGTTAGTTAGTTAGTTATCGATCCTGTTTTCCACTGAATTATCAGAGCCTCTAATATCAATCGAACCCACAACCTCCCTATCGATTGACTAGAATACTACCTAAGGACGTATCCTTGTATTTTGTAATTTTCCTAATAATTTTATATAAATAAAATTTCAATAGCAACAAAATCTCTCTTTTTATATAAATAACAAAAAATAAATGAATAAAGAAAAAACTTCTGAAATCGCCCAATTTCAAAAGTTTTAATCAGAAAAAGGCTAATTTCAACAAATATTTTGTGTGTCCATGACATGATCATCATGATTACACTTATATACAAGAAAACTTTTGATGGTGTTTCCTGGCAAACAAATCTGAATGTTTTTCACAAACAAACGCATGCAAACCAATAACGAAAAAGCAAGAGATTCATATACAAACAGGCTGGACGACAAACACTTTCATTTCATATTCTAAGGACAGACCATGACAAAGTTTTAATTGAAATTAAAAACTTTTTTAGGCATGAGTATTAAATTGAAAAATGCAAATAAAAAGATATGAACAAATTAAAAATTCTCTGGAAAAAGTTTCACATATAGACATGTGTATATACATGTCTGAAATGAAAAGGATCCGGGAAATATTGCGAATCCAGTTAAATTTTATTTAAAACTTAAAATGCAATTTTAAGTGTTAAAATAATGCTTATGTAAGCAGTTTTAAATTTAAAATAATGAGCAAATGTTGGTGAGGGGGAAAACTTATTTCTTTACATGTTGTTAATGGAAAACTTAAGATTAATTATTATTGTTAGCATTTATTGCTACTGAAGAGTATTTGTTGAAAAGCGGATTGGACGTTTGGAAACAACTCCGGTGTAGCTTTTTTATATAA